GGGGCCTCAGGGAGCCCTGGCCTGGGGCTTCCAGACGGCCCTCTGCAGGCCAATGGAAGCTGTGTCTGAAAACCCTGGCAGCTTCAGGGAAGTGGCTCTGGTGAGCAGGTTCTTTCTTCTACTAACAGGACGAGAGGGAGCGGGCTAAGGTAGAGCTGGAGGATTGAAGTTAGATCTTAGAAGGAACTTTTTGAAATCTGCAGACACTTCCAAAAATGTCTGGCTTCAGCACCAAATGTACTGAGGCTTCAGCATGTCATCATTGCTGCCACGGTGCCAGCCATCAAGGAGTGCCTGCCAGGGCTGGTCTTTGAAACATACCATCTTCAAGGGTAAGGGCAACTGGAGACAAGAGTGACACTACCTATTGGTTTTCAAAAAACACCAAGGGCCAGAGAGAAGGCTGTTGGCCAAATCCTTAGGACCTGGGATCCGCAGCCCAGGACCGCTCCTGTCCTGGAACAACGCAGGGACAGCAAATGGCCCTGGGCACTCGTGTGACCATGTGGGATATCCTAAGGCCAATGCTAATGATCACAGAGATATCGAAAGAGAATTAAAAAGAGAGAAGAAAGGTCAGGGAGAAAAATCGATGAGGCACCTTTAGCTCTGGGGAGAGAAGTGGGACGCGAACACAGGCCATTCTGAGGCTCTGGCCTGACGCCAGGTCCCAAGCCCTCGGAAGGAGCTTTAGAAGGAAGTTCTGCAGGAACCTGCCTCCCAGGGCCAAGGCCACCACTGGGGACAGGCTGGGTAGGGCCAGGTCCCAGGGGGAGGGACCTGGCAGGGCCCCCCCGGCCTCCTCCCCAGCCAGCCTGCTCCCCACTGTGAAGATAATAGAAACCACAAAATAGCAATTACTGTATCCGAAGCTGTGAATGAAGAGGACAGGCCGGGCCTTTAAACACGGCCTCCCTCCCCCAGCCCTCCTCTGCGCTCGCACTTCGGTAACAAACTCACACCTCACTTTTCCAATTATTTCATTCACCTCAGGTTCACCAATTACTCCCCCACGCGCACACCACCCCCTCCGCCATGCCGGGGACGCGTGATTGGTGGCGGTTCGTGGGTCTGCGACAACTGGAGTTTGTTGCCACGTTCCTAATTTCTTGTGGGGTGTGTGGGGTGGGAGGGGCCCGGGCCTGGTAAAAAGCTGCTGTGCACAACGTGTTTGCACACAGGCCCCGAGGCCCACACAGGCATGTGTGCCCTGCCATAGTGGTGTGGGTTCCCCTCTGCAAGCTGCAGCCCTGACCTGCCCTGCAGCCCAGGTGCCAGTGAAGAGGGCCGAATCACCTGTGCCCTCCCCAGGGAACGAGGGGCTGGGAAGGAGGCACCAGGAAGAGGGGGCCCTCAGAGCCGCTGTACCATCTTTCCCTGCTCTGCTGCTGCTGAAGGCCAAGCAGGCAGGTGCCAGGCAGGCCCAACTGCCTCTCCCCGCGTGCATGTGGCACTGAGCAGGGGCGCATCCTAAGGAGCCTGGGCCCTGACTCAGGACAGGCGTCCTGATCTCCCGCTGGATCTGCTGGCAGAACCGGAGCCAGCTGAGTGCGAGCCACGTGGGTTGCGGGTGCCCGCTCCCCACCTGCGCCGAGGCACTGCCGCGGAACAAGTCTGGTCCACCCAAGGCAGGGCAGGGAGGTGGGGTAAGGAACAGGCCGCAGGGGAGAAACCCCAGCCAGACCTCCAGGCATTAAAAGCCCTTCAAATATGCCATGGCCACCATCTCCCAGCACACCAGAGGCAGACA